TTTTATTTTATTTTATTTTTTTATACCACTGTTCATTTTTGTACATTGTTTGAATCTCAGGTAAGTTCCCATGCCTGTATTGATCCCTCCTTCTTCCCCCTCCCTGCTGAATGTTTCTGACATTTTTCTTTTTCTTTTTTTTAAAGATTTGTTGTATTTATGTATAGAAGAACTGGGGTGTAGCCAGAGGAGAGGGTTGTGAGAGAGGATTCATGAGAGACAGAATGGGGAGCAGAACAGGCCAATATACTGAAATACACTGCTGAGGGGAGCAGTGTGCCTGTCAGGAGAGGTCTGCTGTGCCATGTGGGTCAGCTCCCTGGCTGGAGATTGAACTCATGCAGCAGTGGCTGGTAGTAGCTTGATAGTGCTGAGACCTTACTCCTGCGCCACCAGGGAGGCCCCCCTATTTTCTTTTTCCTTCTGACAGCGCACCAACCATAATCCCTTCCAGCACCATCCATGTTGCTGCAAATGGCATGAGTTTATATTTTTTGATTGCTAAATAATACTACAGTGTATGTGTGTGTGTGTGTTGTGTGTGTACGTGTCACATCATCTTGATTCTGTCATCTGTTTTGGGGCATTTCGGTTGTTTCCATATCTTAGCTATTGTAGATAGTGCTGCAGTTAACAGAGAAGTACAGATTTCCTTTCAAATTAATGTTTTGTGTCCTTTGGGTAGCTTCCTAAGAGTGATATTGCTGGGTATTACAGTAGCTCTGCTTTTAGTAGTTTAAGTTTCCTCCGCATGGCTTTCCATTAGTGGCTAGACCAATTTACATTCCCACCAGCAGTGTGTAAAGAGGGGTCCTTCTCCACATCCTTGCCAGCATCTGTTATTTCCAGTTTTTTAACATGGGCCGTTCTCACTCAAGGGAGGTAGGAATCTCATTTTGGTTTTGATTTGCATTTCCCTGATTATAAGTGATGTTGAGCATTTTTTCATATACCTTTTAGCCACTTGCATTTCCTCCTTGGAAAAGTGTCTTTTTAGTTCTTCTGCCCATTTTTGATTGGTGTGACTTAACTTGTTTAATTTGAACAACTTAAATAGCTAAATAAATATTCTGTTATATTGCTACCACATCTTATTTAACCAGTCCTCTATTCCTAGATATCTGTATATTTCTAGTTTTCATTACTGCTCACTCTTTTGGAGAGAATAGTTAATATCTCTTTTTGAGTTTTAATAAATTGATTTTTAAATAGATTTACATTTTTAAATATAAATATTTGTGCATGTTCTTTTAAGATTTAAATATAGCACTAAAGCTTTTGTTTATTAACCAAATTTAGTATTTGTGTATTATTTAACAAGGGAAAATGGATTCTTGAAATCTACACAATAAGCCAAATACTGGTGATTTTAACAACTTAATATTCCCTGTTTTTCATAGTTAAGGCTTTGTTTAATCAAAATTTTCTTCTTTCACTGCCAATATATGCTTTTTTTGTACAGTAACTTAACTTTTTTTTTTAATTGAAAACATTAGTTCACACACTGTTTATGATTCAGAGGTATAGTTCGCATCTCTTCAGATACATATTACCACAACCTATCCACACCAAGGCACTCACAATCCTCCATGATAGTCCTTTGGGCCACTTCTGTCTTTACTGTTCACCCTCACCACCTTACAGCCTCAATTCCATAGTCAGAATTATAGGGGTTGTTTTTGGTTTTGATTTCTCTCACCCTTTGTTTTGTTTCTCTGTATTCCACGTTTGAATAATATCACCCATTATTTGTCTTTTTCCTTTATATAACTGTATTCACTCCAGTTCCATCCATGTTGTTTCAAATGGCAACCCTTTTTTGGTAACCACATAGTATTCTATTGTATAGGAAAATATAGTTCACATCTCCTTAATTTTTTTTTTATCTTTTAAACATTTATATTAAGGTAATTTTGGTTTCTAACATTATAATTTCCATGTGTACAATATTATGTTTGACCTGTATATACTACATAATGATCCCCACCAAATGTATTGCTGCCATCTATCATTATATAATTGTCCCCTTTATATTTTTTATTTACCCCCAATCCATGTCTCCTCTGGCAGCTTCCCATCTGTTCTCTAAATAGTTGATGTTTGTCTGATGTAGATGTAAAAGAAAACAATAATTTCAGAACATCTGTTTAAAATTACTTTAAATGTTTTTGTTCATTTCAGGAATTAAGATGTCTTCAGTCCTTTCCTCCAATCCAGAAGATTTTGTTCTCTTCATATAGAATAGGAGTCATGTTGGTCAACATGCTGGTACTTAAAACTGAAGATTGTAAAAGCTGTTTAACTTAAGCTCTATGCTGAAGTAAAATTGTCTTGGAAATACTAAGTTGGGTAAGTACATTAAGAAAGGTTTATGTTGAGTGGTGAGAATAAACTAACAGAAAAAGATCTGAAATTAACCAAAATTTGCTAGTATGTAGAAATTAATAGTAGTGCAGCTGTTTTAACTGAGGCTGTTGCTACATATTATTTTGAGGTTAATAATCCAGGAATTTCAATAATTTATGACTAATTAAATGAAACCTTGAGGCAGTTTTCAACCTACTCAGATATTTAAAATTTTTGAAAATTATATATAAATTCAGAATGCTTAAATAGTATGTTTAATTTATAATGTACTTAGGTGCAGTACTAATGATATTGTCAGCTAAGCTTTATTATATTTATTACATTTTTTTCTGTGGGAATGTGAATTCTGCGTTTAAACCTTGGACTAGGCATTTAGAAAAAGAAGAAACCAGAATATTATATACTCTCTAAATTTACTCAGTAACCCTCTATGTTATTCTTAATTCTAAAATAGATAAAGACAGTACTTTCATATAGGTCACAGTCTCTAGTCTCAACCTTCAACTACTGGTTATTTCTGGTTATATAGACGACACATGTGGTTCAATACCATGTTTTCCATTTTTGTTGCTCTCTTCTTTTTCTTATTGGCGGAGTTCTTCAGTATTCTTATTAGGATTTCTTGCTAAACACCTCAGAACCATAAAGCAGAAGTCACAGATAGGGTATTAGATTAATGTGTACTTTGAGACTAACAAATGTTTTCATGTAATTAAAACATCTTTTTCTCAAAATAATACAACTTTGGTTTTTATTTTTTAAATTGATAGTCTAAGTATTTTTTAGAAATATTCAATTGTTACAAATTTTTATTGGCAGAATATTCTATTTTTAGAGCGTAGTACTTAAAACCTTTGAAGTCACACCAACCTGAGTTGAAAATTCCAGTTGTAATAATTTTATCAAATACTTAAGCTCCATTAACATATCTTTAAAATGGGGATAACAATTCCTACTTAATAGAGTTTTAACAATTAAATGAGATGATGAGGTAATGTTTATAGTCTAGTGCCTTGTATATAGTGATCTGTTTAAAAATACTACTCTTTTAATTTTTTTTTGCTTATACACAGCTTTTTCTGATTATTTAGTATAATTGCTTCTCCTTTTCTCATGATAATTTTCAACCATACTACTGTTGACTAGTTCATTCTTTCCTTTTTTCTTTATCATTAATGACTCATTGTCTGTTAATGAAAAGAGACTTAATTGTCATAGCATAACAAATGTAATTACTAAAGTATGTCCCAATATTTGGTACTCTATAACTAAATGACCTAGAGGAAATATAAGTAAACATGAAACTACTAATCTCAAAGAATTAAATTAACTTCTAATTTAAGTAGTTTCTTTAAGAATTTCTAGTAAATCACTAAGCAGTCATTTAGTTGTAACATTGACATTGACATTAGAAACTGATTTCAAGAAATATCAAATGGTTTCTCTTATAGGAGGGATATAGGGGAACCAAATGAGGGATCAAGGTGGGAAAAAAACAATAAAAACACAACAAAACACCAAGAAAGAGACAACTATAAATCAAGTTAAACATCATTTAAAAATTATAAATTTTGCAAGCTTTGCTATTAAATATAGTAAAAAAAATTGACTATCATAACCAATTATTTAATATGAGGTTTGCTGTAATTATTCTAAATAATTTGGGCTATTATTAATACATTAAAGACAATAAAGATCATTATCCTATATTTCTTTTTTTTTTTTTTTTTTTAAAGATTTATTTATGCACACAGACTGGGGTATAGGCCAGAGAATCAGGGGCGGTGAGAGGCTTCACCAGAGACAGAGTGGGGAGCAGAACAGGCAGATCGACGAAGTACACTGCTGAGGGGAGCAGCGGGTGGGTCAGAAGAGGTCTGCCACACCATGTGGTCACCTCCGGGGCAGGCGGGAATCGAACTCATGTAGAAGCGGCTTTAGATTCTCAGTGCAGTGCTTTAACCCGCTGCGCCACCAGGAGGGTCCTATTTCTTTTTTTTTTAAAGATGTATTTATTTATGCATGCAAGCCAGAGGTGCAAGGGCAGTGAGAGGATTTACCAAAGACAGAGTGAGGAGCACAACAGGCAGATCAATGAAGTACACTGCTGAGGGGCGCAAGGGCTCTTCATGAGAGGTCTGCCGCACCATGTGGATCACCTCTGGGGGGGGGATCGAACTTGCACTGAAGCGGCTGCACTTGCTTGCAGTGTTGCACTTTATTATGTTGCACCACCAGGGAGGACTCAGAATATCCTATATTTCTTTCTGACTTAACGTATTTTTTTAATTAAATGCTTTCACTGGGTAGCTCATAGTTTAATTCTGACTGCTAAAAAAATCATTCCCACAGGAACACAACTGATACCATGATTACCCTTTATGAATACCTTGTTTTCCATTCACTTAAAATACTGAAATATGAACTTTGCTTCATAGAAAATGGGGTGGCTAAATGGTAGTCTTGAAAAGCTTAATCATTTTTTAACTTGTTTGTATTAATCCTTTGTTTTAAATTAATGCTCAATAGTATTTATTAAATACAATTATTAGCTAGATATGTAAAATAGAGCATCTTCAGGGAATAACATTTCTTCCTTTTTAGGATAACCTGAATCTGTTTCTGGAACCATGAAAATTTTGCTGGTTTTTGACTTTGACAATACAATCATAGATGACAATAGTGATACCTGGATTGTACAGTGTGCTCCAGAGAAAAAACTTCCTATTGAACTACAAGAGTCTTATAAAAAAGGATTTTGGACAGAATTTATGGGCAGAGTCTTTAAATATTTGGGAGATGAAGGTGTAAGAGAAGATGAAATGAAAAGAGCAGTGACATCAATGCCTTTCACTCAAGGGATGGTGGAACTTCTAAGCTTTATAAGAAAGAATAAGGATAAATTTGACTGCATCATTATTTCAGATTCAAATTCAGTCTTCATAGACTGGTTTTTAGAAGCTACCAAATTTCATGATGTATTTGATAAAGTATTTACAAATCCAGCAGCTTTTAATAGCAGTGGTTATCTCACTGTTGAAAACTATCATACCCATTCTTGTGGTAGGTGCCCAAGGAATCTTTGCAAAAATGTAGTTTTGCTAGATTTTGTCCATGAACAATTGCAGCAGGAAGTGAATTATACACAAGTTGTATATATAGGTGATGGTGGAAATGATGTTTGTCCAGTAACCTTCTTAAAGAAAAATGATGTTGCCATGGCACGGAAAGGATACACATTACAGAAAACTCTTACCAGAATGTCTCAAAATCTTGAGCCTGTGGAACCTTCTGTTGTAATTTGGTCTTCAGGTATTGAAATAATTTCTCATTTGCAACTTCTAATAAAGGAATAATATGCCAACAGTTCACATGTGTATCAGTTAAGTACAGCAGTATAAAACTAAAACCCCAGATAACAGTAACTTTAAAAAAAAAAAGATGTTTTTCTCTTACTTGAAAGAAATCCAGAGGTAAGTATCTATCTCAAGGCTGCAATGTTGCTCTACTAACTTCAGCACTTGACACATGATCCAAGATTGTTGCTCAAGCTCTGCTCTCACATCAACATTTTGGACAGCGAAAAATTGTCAAGGAAGGGGGAGGTTTCATCATTATTTAAATTTGGCTAGACTTTGGCTCACACCTATCTGCAAGGAAGGATAAAAAATATATATAGCTTTTATTACAGATGCTCATATGCCTGGGAAACATTGGAAAAAACCAATCACAGAACTGAGGTAAGTACAACAGTGGTTTCTACCAAAAGTAGTTAATTGGTAGATTATATTTAAAAATCTGTTCCCAGAGAGAGAGTTACATACATTTTGCTTTCCTAGATATCTCAAAAACATGTCCAATATTTATAGATCTTAAAAATGAGTCTGATGCTTTATTCATATAATGAAAGGCTCTAAAATACATATAATGTCCTACTTTATAAAAATTTGTGTTCAAATTATTTTATATTTATAAAACTGCAGAATCATATCACTGCAGTATGCTGGTTTAATCAATGCAGGATTTCTCTTGACAGTGTAGCCTTGAGCCTTGATATAATATGCAATTTGTAGGAATATTCAGCTTTTAAGAGTCTGTTTCATATAATGTAGGAAGTTTTATAATTCCTTGTTAAAATATCCATTATATAAAATATCCATGCTTTTCAAATTACAGAAAATTTGAGAAATAGAAAAATATTCAATATAATAGGAAAAGATGGCATTTTAAAAATATATTTATTACTTTTTTTTTTTTAAAGATTTATTTTTATTTGTACAGAACTGGGGTACAGGCCAGAGATACAGCGGATGACAGGATTCACCAGAGACAGAGTAGGGAGCAGAACAGGCAGATCGACGAAGTACACTGCTGAGGGGAGCAGCGGGCGGGCCAGGAGAGGTCTGCCACGCCATGTGGTCACCTCTGGGGCAGGCAGGAATCGAACTCATGGGGAAGTGGCTTGAGCTTCTTAGTGCAGTGCTTTAACCGGCTGCGCCACCAGGGAGGGCCTATTTATTACTTTTTTACATCATTCTTCATTTTGTACTTTTTTTATCTCAGTTGTGATGAAATTCAGAAATCCTATGGATTTCCCACTACCAGTTCACCCATAAGCTATCACCATAATCCTATGTTCTCTTCACAACCCAGTTTTGATCTTAATCCCCTCTGCACTTCTGTAGAATGTCCCTGGTTTATAGTTGTTGATTTTCTTTTTACCCTATTGGAATTGATTTTTTTTTCCCAATCTTTTGCGCTCCTGCTATAAGTACAACCATCTGGTATTTTTCTTTTCTTTTCTGGCTTATTTCACTAAGCATGATCCCTTCCAGTTCCATCTGTGTTTCTGCAGAAGGCATGAGTTTATCTTTTTGATTGCTGAGTAGCATTCCATTGTGTACATGTATCACATCTTCATGATCCAGTCATCTATTTTTGGGCATTTGGGTTGATTTTACAAAAAAAGATGATATTTTCTAACAATAGTTTTTTCTGGCTCACAAGTCTTTATTTTTCTTTAATAAGTTAAAGTTTAAACACATTTTTTAAAAACATTTATTGTTATAGATTATTATTTCTGTGTGTGTAGAAGCCAGTAACAAATTGAAACTTATGGAAGTAATAGAATAAAAGAGTTTATAGTTAATGGTAGACCAAATAATTTGAACTAGATCTTCTACATAGTTCATTTAGGAAATCTGATACCTAAAAATTTTTTTTAAATATCTGCTTAAAAATATGAGCGTGCTACAATTGAGAAAGAAAAAAATGTATAAAATGATGTAAAAATAAACATAAAATTTTAAAAAACTGAAAAAAACTTAAAAAATAATAATAAAAAAAGTTAAAAAAAAATATGAGCATGCTGACAGTAATGAACAGCTAAGGAAGCACAGAAACTTAGGTAGGTGCACTGCTACTCTCTGGAATTATTGGCCAGTTCTGTAAATGACCTCTGGTAACTAAATGGAATATCCTGTAGGACCAGGGAGCTATGGAGATATGGATAAACGTCTTATAGTGATAAGCCCTTCCCCTTACTTCTTTCTTTGAGTAAGGAATTGAAAAGACTGCCCATTAAGTATAAGACAGTTACAGAAATGAATAAGTCTTCAGTGTGATGGCAGCTCAACATTGAATATACTCAGCCCAGAAATTGAATTGACAGTATCTAAGGCTTTTAGATAATCTCCCAGGTGCTTGACAGAAGCAAATTTACATTCTCTTAAGAGAACACTAACATTGTAGATATGGGGGGCAGAATCTAAGGCTCTAAGGTGAACTTCACAGTCCCTATATTCTGATACTCTACCACCTCTTGCATAGAACAAGAGGAGGTAGAGCCTATGACTTCTCTTAATCAGTAGAATACCACAAAGATAATGGATTATTTGTAATTATGTATATACAATTACATTATACCAAATTATAATGTCCATTTTGTTAAGAAAATCGTTGATTTTGAAAATGCAAGCAGCCTTTTTGTGAACTGACCTTTAGAGAGGGCCACAAATAAATGAAGATGGCCACTATTAGCAAGAAGTAGACCCTTGGTCTGACAGTCTCCAACGAACAATGGTGCATTCACATGAGCTTAGAAGTGGATCTTTTAGTGGAACCTCAGTCCAGATCAGTGCTGAACTGACACCTTAATTGTAACAGACCAGGAGACAAAAGCCCAAACAGAATTGTTCTTAAACTCCTGAACCACAGAACCTATAAGATAATATGTATGAAGGTAAGTTTGTGGTAATACTGTTCGGCACAGTAGAAAATAAAATACCTCAAAAACAGTTTTGCAAATACGTTGTAGGATGCAATAAAATTAGCAACACCAAAAATCATGAATTAACATCAACAGAAGCTTCCAATTAAGCCTATTTTCAGGACCTCCAAATAGGTTTTTGGGTACAAACTAAGAATTTTGAAAAAATTTTGAAAATAGATTTTTAAAACATGGAAACACTAGAACTGAAAACCATTACTGAATTAGGATCTTGATGAAAACAGAGCTGAAGAGAAAATTGATAAATTAAAACAAGTTAGAAGAAAATATTCAAAGTTATGCAGAGAGAAAATAATGAAAGTAGAAATTAAGAGATGTACAAACTATAGGATCAAATACAATAAGTTGATGTATCAGAAGGACAGCAGGAAAAAATGAAACAAGCAGTACTTTAAGGTGAGTGACTTAAGAACCTCACAAACTTACAGATTCAAGAGGCCTTATGCACCCCAGTAGGATAAGTGAAAAAATACATGATAGGGAACACATCATTGTAAAACTGTTGATAACCAAAGATGGCAAAAGTGTGAAGAAGAGCCCTCTCTGGTGGTGCAAGAGATTAAAGTGCAGCACTATGAAGCTACCTGACACTATTGCAGCACAAGTCCATTTCCTGACCTGGGAGGTGATCCACGTTGCATGGCAGACCTATCCTGACCCACCTGCAGCTCCCCTCTGTATTTCAGTACATCTGCCTGTTCTGTTTCCCACCCTGTCTCTGGTGAATCACTTCCCACACCTCTTGGCCTGTACCCCAGTTTTTGTATTCATAAATAAACCTTTTTTAAAAAAAAGTGTAAAGAAGCTAGAGAAGGAGTAATGACACTGAAAAGAGAACGAATTAATAATAGTTTTTCTTAAATGTTTAATAGGATTCAACAGTGAAGCCATCTAAGCCTCAAGTTTTCTTTGTTGAAAGGTTTTTTGTTTTTTTTTTTAAATAATATAATTTTTTATTTTTACATCAGTTTGTGCCTTTTTCCATCTCTGTTGTAATCCCCATGGGCTTCTCATCACCAAATCACCCATGTACCATCACGGTAGTCCAGTGCATTTCCCTCCCCTCAACTGTTTTTGATCGCATTCCCCACCCCACCCCCATAAAATGTCTCTGGTATATAGTTGTTCATTATTATTATTATTTTCTCATCTGGTCCTTTATACTCTGCTATGAATGAAACCATCCGGTATTTTTCCTTTCCTTTCTGGCTTATTTCACTAAGCATGATCTTTTCCAGCTCCATCCATGCTGCTGCAAAAGGCATGTGTTTATTT